GGGCTAGATGGACCTTTGGTCTGACCCGGTATGGCCGTTCTTAAGTTCTTATGCCTGACATGACAAAGAAAGCAATATCACTTACCACAAGTGAGAGAGGCCTTTTCCATGAGACAACGCCAATCAGTCCTGACAACAGCACCTGAAATCAAGTGAAAAGAGTCAGCAAAGAGTCACAGATTTTATACTAACACCTAAAAAAAGTAACAGTATCTTTTAAGAAAGAACAATACTCAAACAAACTATAAGACAAGTAATTGGCTTCCAAAAGTGTTGGGACTGGAAAGTAAATACTGCAAGATAGGCTATTGAAACAAATAACGTAGGCCATACTTATAGGATGGGGGACTCTACCCTGGGAACCAATGACTCTGAAAAATATTTGGGGTTCATAGTGGATAATCAGCTGAAGGTGAGCTCCCAGGGGGACGCTGTGGCCAAAGGAACTAATGCGATCTTAGGATACATAGACAGGGGAATCTCGAGTAGGAGGTTATTTTATCTCTGTATTTGGCACTGGTGTGACTGCTGCTGGAATACTGTGTCCAGTTCTGGTGCTAACAATTCAAGAAGGATGTTGATAAATTGGAGAGGGTTCAGAGAAGAGCCATGAGAATGATTAAAGGATTAGAAAACATTTCTTACAACGACAGACTCAAAGAGCTCAATTTATTTAGCTTAGCAAAGAGAAGATTAAGGGCTGATTTGATTACAGTTTCTATTTAGGGAACAAATATTTAATAATGGGCTCTTCAATTTCGCAGCGAAAGGTTTAACACAATCCAGTGGCTGGAAGTTAAAGCTAGACAAATTCAGACTGGAAATAATTTTTTTTTATACCAGTGAGAGTAATTAACCTTTGGAACAATTTGTCAAGGGTAATGGTGGATTTGCCATCACTGACAATTTTGAAATCAATATTGAATGTTTTCTAAAAGATACACTCTAGGAATTATTTTGGTGGAAGTTCTATGGCCTGTGTTGTACAGGAGGTCAGACTAGATGATCATAATAGTCCCTTTTGGCCTTAGAATCTATGAATTTTCATTCTATTTCCAACATGGATGAAAAAACATGGTACTGTAAATATCACAATCCCTCTCTTCCCCCTCCCCCGCCCCCCTGGATTCTACAGAGATTTCAGTCTGATTTCCAGATCGAAATGGTTCTATAAGTTCAGAATAAGTCTCAGAACCATTTTCACTGTTCACTAGTAAGTCACACCACCTGATGTGCTGTATGGTTTATTTTAATTAATATTTTCTGTAACAACATGAACTGAAAGAAAACTTTCAGAGAGATTTCTTTGCACTATCAGAATGGTTATGCATGGTCCTCCATTGCAAGTTAATAGATAAACAGAAGGTGAAAATTAGCACAAACATATTGTAATAATAAAACCTAATTTTTCCTACCATTTATTTGCTATGTGCATTAGTGCCAGACAAAAACCTCTAGCTCTGCAATATAAAATGTCTAATAGCTCATAATGTGTAGCCATACCACTTCAAATACACACACTCACACCCCTTGTCTTAATGTGCAATATTATGCCATTACTTATTTGTAATGATGAAAGACTTTTGTTGCGACAGGAAAAAATGTGGTCTACAGGATATCTTCTAAATTATTCAGGTGATTGACAGATCTTAGGCAGTGATATGACAGATGAGTGACCATCTAAGGGTTATGCAGGGACCCTTTAACACACAACTGAGAGACATGTTTTATAGAGCATATCATCAGAATTTGGAAATACTCATATGGGCCAAATTTTACAGCCCTTACTTCAGCAAAACTGAATCACTGAGAGTTTTACTCAATTATGGACTGCTTAGTTTCCAAGTAAAAGTCTGGTACCCCGTCCAAGATCCACCCATACAAACCAAACTGGGCTCTGAGAGTTAAGCATGTTCTTTCCTTCTCACACAAAATCTATAGCAATAAAAATGGTGAAGGCTAAATTATACTCTCATTTACAATGGTGTAATCCCTTTATGGCAGGGGGGAAAAGGACACAGAAAGAGGTCACTATCTCCCTAGGAACAGCATAGCAGCAGCAGGCACGGAGAGAGCAGGCACAGAATGCTCTATGCTCTGCCCTCTCACCTGTACTAAGACCATCTAGCCAGTGGAGCTGCTACAGTGCACAGAGGCCCAGTGACTTCTAGCTCCTCCACAATAACCATATGAGAGCTGCCTCAGGACCATTCTCCCATGGATGGAAAATCCCCCAGGAGCCTCAAAATGGGACATCTTACACAGCTGGAGCACCCTGTTGATATAGAGCAATGACAAAGTGTAATATTCAGTAGTTCACTGACACTATCAAAATTAATCTGCTTTGGACTCTTTAGGATTATTTGCACTATACTTTATAACTTCTGCCATGTAAAAGGAAGGTGAGGATTAAATAAAAAAATTGGCCAAGGGGAGAGGGAGAGATGAAAGAAGAGAGAGAGTGTATGTATGTGTACATGAGAGAGAGATATTAGGTTCAAATTAAATAACAGTTAAAAACCAAACAGGAACAGGTAGAAAAAGACAAGGGACTAATCAAAAAGTAATGCATACTGATAGATAAA